CACACACACACACACACACACACACACACACACACACACACACACACACACACACACACACAGCAGCAACGCCACAAAAAATGTGTGAATTTTGGGAGCAAGAGCATAACGGAAAGAGGCATGCCGCTCATGAGGGCATATCCGTGACGGCACCGCCGAAAGCTGCGCCCCTTGCTGACAGGGGCATGCAGGAAAGTTCAGAGGCCCCAGGGGCACAACAGGGAAAAACGGCTAATGGAAATTACAGGGGCTCCAGACAAATTTCCCCAAAAAACGAAACAAAATTTCAAATGCCGAAAATTTCAAGAAATCTCCAAATCCCAAACGCCCCGAAATGCCCGAATCGCCAAATCCCCAAAAATCCCAAACACCTCCAAAAGCGCAAAAGCCCAAAATCCGGAAGTCCCTTTTTTTATTTTTATTTTATTTTTATTTTTTTTAGCTCTGTCCTTTGGGACGTCCGTTAAAATTAGAAAGATACAGATAAAGAAGATTAGCACGGCCCCTGTGCAATGCTGACACACGTAAATCGAGAAATAGTCCAAAAAAAAGAAAAAAAAAGTAGACCTCTCTGACAGAAAAGTATCTATTTCAAAAAACCAAAAAAAGTACTTTTTGGCACCGGGAGGTTTGTTTCTGAAAGTGCTATGTCCACTGTGTTTTTTGGTTGACGTCCAGCATTATTCCTTGCGGGCAGCAGAAGTTCCAGCAGTTGTGGTGGATGCATTTGACATCAACGAGGTTGCAAATGACGTTTACGAACTCAACTTCGGCTTTCGACCCAATCAGGTACCGGGCAATATATATATATGTTTGACGGCTAGGCTACCAGCCGGGCCGCCCGGGTCACCCTATTTTCCCGGACGGCCCGGCCATGTAAGGCCCAGGGAAAGTCCTAGCAAAAAAAAAAAAAAAAACTCCAAAAAATCCGAAAAAAAACTATGTTATGCAGAAAAATAAACTAAACAACTTTTGCCTCAGGGTCACAACGAAATTCTTTACCAAACTGAAAATAAAAAATAAAGTTAAAAAAAATATATATATATTTTTTATATATTTTTATTTATTTTTGGCCCGGCCGGGGAACTGGCCCTGGGCCACTCTGGTAGCCTAGTTTGACGGTATATATTCATGTGACGCAGTGCTTTCATGTGGGACTGGTCATCCGGGTCCTTTTTTTGGTATGACATCCTGGCTGGTCTTGTCCCGTCGCTTGGCGTGTAGTTGCCGGGGGCGGTGTTTGCATGTGGGACTTGTCATCTAGGATTGTCATTTAGGATTTGCTTTGCAGCCCCCTGTTCTGTTTTGTTTGGGCTGTTTCCTTCCTCTTTTCTTTGCCTCTTTGCCTTTTGGCAGTGTGCAAGTGGGTCGATATGATACACGGGGGTGGGGGCAGCCGCCGCTCAACCTACATCCACGTGGGCGGCCTTGTACGCAAGAGGTTCTGAACAGGGGGGAGTTGTTAGGAAGAAGATGAAAAATGAATTGATATTTTTTTGTTTCTTTTGTTTGTTTTTTTCGCTTTTGCGCTCTGATATCTATGTGACCATATATAGATTCACAGTGTGACTATATATATCGTCATATTGCCTCTAGTACCAGCGACATGTCTGGAGTGTATTTTTTGGCTGTGACAGACCTTTCTTTGTTTCGTGGGTGTTTTGCTTGCTTGTGATGGGGTGTGAACCGACAGTCTGTAGAGTTCTCCATGTGGTGTGGGTGAGTGATAGTCTGTTTTGACTTTTGCCACAGGTACCTTGAGGGCAGTGGTTGGTGCCCACCTCAGGGTATCAGTTGTCGGGCAGTTGTTGAGGCTTAACCACAGCCAGGGTTAAGGTGGATTATCACTTACAGTGTAATCAGTTAGGGGATTCTGCAGACTGTTGAGGGTTCAGCCTCCTGATGAGTCGGTGAAACTCCGACAAAACAGTTTGCCACAGCCCCTCGTTTGTTGTTCTCTTCTCCCTCTCTGCCTACGGTTTAGTCAAACAGAGCTGCCCGGTAAACCGTAGGCAGAGAGGGAGAAGAGAACAACAAACGAGGGGCTGTGGCAAACTGTTTCGTCGGATCCTATATAAGACTCGCACTGCCGGAAGTGTAACCCTGCTACGGTCTTCAACTGATTAGAACACCCAGAGTGACACCTGCAGGGCCCGGTGGCTGTATAGGCGTATATAGGAACAACAGTTATATAGTGCCGGAAGTGTAACCCTGCTACGGTCTTCAACTGATTAGAACGCCCAGAGCGACACCTGCACGTATATAGTGTAACCCTCCTATACAAGGCACGCCTATACGCCTCTTCTCATCTATACAAGGCACGCCTATACGCCTCTTCTCATCTATAACGAGGGGACTCGCACTGGTGGTTTAAGATGTAAAAAACCAAAAAAACAAATTTGCAGTGTGAGTTGATTTTACTACTGTGTGATCCAGCAGTTGAGGATGGAGAACACTAGGTGCTTGGTGCCTGTGTGAGGGGGGTGGGGGAGGAGATGGGGCAGTTGTTGGCCCACTGTGACTCCGCTGCAGGTATGGATGGGGCTGCTTCTTATCAACGAAACAAAAAATGTTTGGCCTAGCGTGCCAGCGCATGTTCTTTCTGATACTGTTCCGCGATGATATATTGTTCTTGTGGTATTGAAGAGGCAATGGCTTTTGACATTGCTCATGATCGCTTTTGACAATTCAAACGAAGCATCTCTTTTGCTCACAAAACCTCCTACGCCCGTAGTATACAAGCAATAGCGTTTGGTTGGTGGGAACCACTTTCTGCCTACCACTTGTGGTTGATACAAGCAAGATTCCTACGACACCCATCAAGGAGTAGAGGAGCCTACCTATCCTGTACAAAATTGCTATACACTCGTCAGCGACTAGAGGAGCCTTCCCGTCCTATACAAGACGCCCATACATCCGTCACCTACTAGTAGATGAACCTCTCTCTCTCTCTCTTCTATACAAGACTCCTATGCCGCCGACAAGGAATAGAGGAGCCAAATGTAGTATATACATCTCTCTCTCTCTCTCTCTCTCTCTCTCTCTCTCTCTCTCTCTCTCTCTCTCTCTCTCTCTCTCTCTCTCTCTCTCTCTCTCTCTCNCTCTCTCTCTCTCTCTCTCTCTCTCTCTCTCTCTCTCTCTCTCTCTCTCTCTCTCTCTCTCTCTCTCTCTCTCTCCCTCCCTCCCCGAGTTGTGTTTCGAATGAATGCAAAAATATCAAGTCGATTTGTTCCGAAAATTGAGGAGTCGATCATTTCATCTCACAAATCCAGCCAGCATTGTCGAAAATTAGCATCTTTGTAAATCGACTCAACATGGTTAAAAAAAGAAAAAGGAGAAAGGGTTTTCTTTCTCAGCATACTTTGAACAGGAATTATCTGGCAAGATACTTCGAAGAAACTTTTTTGAGTTCTTCTGTTCTGAACCAGAGTCGGTAAAATATATTTTACAATGAGTGAGTCTATCCGTCGCTGATCGAGACTACATCTCTTCTGGTGGATCCAAGACTCCTATACAACTGACACTCCTATATGTGACTCCTACACTAGCCTCCTATAGTAGGGCTCCTACAGAAGAATCCTATACGTCATATAGCCGTCTTGTAGAGGAGTCTAATACAGGAGATTTGCATAGGTGTGTCATTCAGGAGTGTAGTATAGATGAGAAGAGAGACGTATAGGCGTGCCTTGTATAGGACCCTCGTATGGGAGTCTTGTGTCCACAAGATTACATGAATAGGAATCTCATATTAGGAACCTTGTATAGGAGTCCTCACCATACAAGGTTCCTATACGAGACAACCTATTCATGTAATCCGGTGGACACAAGACTCCCTCCCGTATGAGGCTCCTATACAAGACACTCCTATACGCCTCTTCTCATCTATACAAGGTTCCTATATAAGGCTCCTATTCATGGCACTCCTATATGCAAGGAACAAGAAAGTTCTTATATAAGACTCCTATTCATGGCACTCCTATGTACAAGGAACTCCTATATTGGACTCCTATATAGCAACCTTGTACACGTGACTATCCTGAATGAACACACCTATGCAAAACTCCTATAGTAGACTCCTCTAAGAGACGGCTGGCTATATGAGGTTCCTATATGTATCTCTTTCTGGTGGATAAAAGGGGTGCTATATGCATCAAGAAGCAGCGTCTCCATCCCTCGATCTATTTGGAAAGGTTGATTTGTAGATGCTTGTCTGTTCACACTGTGTGAGTTCCACCGTGCTGGGCCAGTTCTGTGCCCACCTCCACGGCTGAGGGATTCTGTGTAATGGCATGGTCCTGAGGTCTGTATTCTTCTGGGCCCAGTTCTGGGCCCACCTCCAGGGCTGAGGGATTCTTTGTAATGGCATCGCCCTGAGGTCAGTGTTCTTCTGGGCCCACCTCCAGGGCTGAGGGATTCTGCCAGCGATCCCCACCGCTTATGTTGAGTGAGGGTGGGGATTCACTTTTCGCCTCTGCCTCAAGTCTTGTCAAGACTCTCAAACCTATTTCTTCCCAACCATCGTGCTCAACTCGAGTGGAAATGTTGTGCTTTGGTTAATACCGCGGTATTTGTCGCAGCTCGTTACTTGTTCCTTAGATTTTTTTTTTTTTGTTTTTGTTTTTGTTTGTTTGTTTGTTTGTTTGTTTGTTTGTTTGTTTGTTTGTTTGTTTGTTCCTTAGATGGTTTATTGATTGGCCAGCTAACCCTTAAACCTGCTTCCATTTATTTGTCCACGTTGAAAAGCACAAAGCCCACGTTGAAAAGTTCTATTCCTTGAAGGAGACTGACCAGATTGATGGATTGCCGTCTCATGGTGGTGTATTGCAGGGGAATGTGCAGAGACTGACGGTCTCACAGTTGGACAAATGGAAAGCCGACATGTGGCTGATGTCACCCCCATGCCAGCCATACACTCGTCAAGGTTGTTTTCCTTTGCCAATCTAGAACGATGAATGAATGATCAATCTTCTTGCCCGTTTCCATCCATGTTTGCTTTTGTTGATTTTTATCATCCTCATTATTGTTGTTGCGTTCATTGTAGTTGTCCTCTTCACCATCATTGTCAGTGTGTCACCATCATTGTCGCCGTCGTAGTCATCGTCTTCGTCTTCATCCTCCTCCTCCTCATCATCATTTTCTGATCATTGTCAATGAGAGAGCAAATGATGGCAATTCAGCCACTACGCCCCCTAACACTGAGCCTGGAAATCTGATAGGATCCATCCATTGGAGTTGGTGTTGATGTTAAAAACTGAGAGAGAGAGAGAGAGAGAGAGAGAGCTGTCTCTTATACACATCTAGATGTGTATAAGAGACAG